CCCCAAAACCCCAAAACCCCAAAACCCCATGAAGATTTTTTCAAAGATATATTAGTAAAAAAGAATTAAAGAGGTAAGCTAATGAATTAAATTACATTTGTGGAAATATTATAATTAAATGGAATAAAAAAACTTGTTAATAAAAAAGCAGAATTATCAGCTTCATCTTATCAATCCTCCTTAGTTCAGAGAAAATTCAGATCCAGATAACCTAGATGATTTAAGACTCGAAGCTAATTAGATTTCTGCACATTTAATATCATAGCCGAGGTAGATCAACCATGTAACTAAGCAATATAGTACCAGATAATAAGAGAGATAAAAATTGAGACTAGCAAAAATCCTGGATTCTTAGAGAACAGATAGAATCGACTCGCATAAAGATTAAGCATCAAAGTAGGATTCGAACTAAGCCTTGAAGGATCTATTTAAAAATTCTTTTCATGAGTTCTTTGTAAAGAATGAGATATTCTCTAAGACTTACAGAGATAACAACTCAAGGAATATAGATTTTTAGAACAATTAAACAAGTCCTCGTAGAGGTAATATAATTCAATAACTTCCAAACCCACATCATAACAGGTACGTATATCAGCCAAAAATTAACTTTCAAGAGTCTCCATTATTTAAAAAGCACAATAAGTACTCTACGTTTTAACAAGTCTATGCGTCTGCAACTAACCAATCTACTGAAGCCTCCTCTCATTTCAGCAATTGTAATACGCATAGAGCTCATTAACTGAGCACATAATTTCATGATCCAATATCTGCTAAATCGAAGATTGGTATCCAAGATAATTTAAATGACTCTCAACTAATGAACTAGATAAAGACTCCTCAAAATGTGCTAACTCACTCAATAGATACTAATAACGACACTCTCAAGAAGTTAGTCTAGCAAGTAGCATGTCACCATCAAGATATGAGAAGAAATAGTCCATTAATTGCTTAGTCAACCTTCTACAACACTTAATTAGTTTTTATTCCTCAGCATCGTAAAAGTTCAAAAAAGACTCCCTATAAGGTTAGAAATATTCCTTCAGTTCACCATCAACGACTTGGATCTTTTGGTGATTAGCAAAGTAAAAATATGACTTCATCGCTTGACGAACAAGAAGCCTAAGATCTCATTAAGCTTCATAGAGCCAATTTCAGTTTAGACAAGGAGTCTTATCGCAAAAAGTATCTTTAAAAAAGAATAGAAATTCAGCATAAGGAGGCAAAGAAGATTCTTGAACTTAAAGATAGTCTGAACTAAAATAAGTTACTATTAAAGAGCCTAGATAGAAACCCAAGAAATAATTTGTAGCTTGATGAAAATTATGTACCGCACACTTCTATACAGAAGAGACATGGTACTGAATTCATTACAGAGTTCGATTATAAAGAGGGGTTTAGAGTATCAAAAATGACAATTAGGAATAAGGAAGAAAGCAAGCGTCCTTTAATTAAAGAAATTCTTTGCAAATCTATTTTGAAGACAGAGCAATAAAAAAGGAGATCTCCTTTCAAAAAATCAATTAAATTCGATCAGGCTAGTCCCAAGCTCAAAGATCCAAATATAAACCTTGATATACTTAACTTAATTCATCATGAGTCGTCCAATTGATAAACTTCAATCTATTTACTTGTGCAAATCAATCGGTAATTATCGTCTATTTTAAGTGATTTATAATATGGAATTATGATGATAACTTATAGTGAACTCAGTCAAATTATAGTTTTTTTAATTATTAAAATGCGTTAAACTTTAAGTTTTCATTAATTCTTTTGATGGGGTTTTGGGGTTTTGGGGTTTTGGGG